ATCCATGGCTAAGCAGTCTCCAAAATCAAAATAATTTAATTTGAAATTTATTTTCTTATTCCATGCATTGGTGATCACTTTACTTGATTGTAGAGGTAAATCAAAAATCAAATTATCCTCATTATTGCAATTGCCCAGGTCTGCTGAAATGCATTAACTGACCTTTCCTGAATCTCCAACATACATTTGCACTTCATCAGGTTTCCCTATTACAGAAACCTTCTAACAGCTACATCTTTAGGAACAGGGGATGAACATCCACATACAGAAATCTTTTTTTTTTTCATTTGTATCGGGGTATCAGCGAGCAGTACTCCTTTTGACATTATCAAAATAGATTTTGATACAGAATAATCAGAATCACTGAAGGAAGAATGGAGACCAATTTTTACTTCTTTTTGCAAACTAGACGGATTATGGAATCTATCTGGGATCTCCATAAGCACCTTTTTTTTCTTTCTAACACAATCCAGTTGTTTCTTCGGCTGAATTAATCCTCCTTCATTAATAACCAAGGCTCCGACATATTTAAACCTTGGTTTGGCCTCATGATCAAACATCAAACTTGCATCACCAAAAGCAGGGGGAGACGAACCATGAATTGAATGTGGAAGAATATGAACAGCATTTGTTGAGGACCAATAACCATCAGTGGCATCGAAGGGTGGAGGCTGATGGCCCTCCACCGTCATTGGTGGATTGCAAAATTTGTGAGAATCAAAAATTCAAAAATGAAGGCTTTCTTCTTTGTATAAGGCACAAAAATTTCGCAACAAGACTTTAAATGCTTTAGAGGTAATACTCACAAAAATTAAAATAAAAATGAAATTGAGAAGAGTTCTAAAAAGAAAAGAAAAGAAATAAAGAAAAAGAAAATGATTACATTCAAGAATTGGTATTATTTAAAAGCTTAGAAACTAACTGCACTCTTATACTAAAACTCATAAAGGGCAAGATAGAAAAACTAATACAAATAATGGTGAACTAATGAAAATTCAATTTTAACTACAAACACATCTAATCTTTAATCTATATCATTTAATTTAAAATTCAATAGTCAAGATTATCTTCATAACAAGTAACTTCTAACTAAGCAATGATAAGAATGACTTTTTACGATAATTATTAGTATTTTTTAAACTAGAATTATAACTTTCTTCATTTCTGCTACTTCAAGATTGTAATGTATTATCCAATATTTTAATAATTTTAAATTATTAGATTTTACTTAAGTTATTTAATTAACCAGAATAGAAACAATTTTAATTTGTTGAGGACAAGAAGAGTATAAGCTAGGGAGAATTCTATAAGTGTAAAATATGTTATATTTTTATGTGTTTTTTATCAGTTTAAATGTCATTTTAACTTTTTATGTGTAGAAAAAACTAAAAAATTAGAGAAAATCTAGAGTTGAGTACAACCCCGTGGTGTCCAACAATTCCATGTTGCGGTGTTATAATCCACATCATCGAGGTGCCACACTTTCACATGGAAGTGCCATGATTATTAACGTCAAGAACCAAAATGTCATAATGGTTAACTTGGAAGTTTCATGTTCACTATCTTCAAGCACCGTGGAGGCATAATCTTTCCCGCATTAGCAACAAATTTTCCACCAAGCAACACAGCATTCAAAATTCATCAATATCATGACATATTAGTTATAACTTCCAAAAGACACAATCTTCCAACAAAGTGACATGACTTTTCATTAAATAATCACTCCACATCAGCAAGTATCGAGGTGATGGAGAAGTTCTAACACTGAAGCTTTAATTCATCTGAAGGGAAAAATGGTGCCACTCTTTCAAGCGTCGCGGTATCACTAACTATTTTTTGTTATCCAATAAATAGTAGTGATGTTATGTTTCTAGGAGCATTCAGTCTCTTATCTAATTTTGTGATTTATAGTGTACTTCTTTAGATCTCTCTTAGAGTCAAATTTAAGGGAGACTAAATAAATGTTAGATAATAATTATTAGAGCATTAAGTCAATATTTGTTTGAGTAACCCTATTTGTTATAGAAGAAGAAGTGTAAACCAGATACATTGATCCTTCTAGGTGATATCACAATCTTATATTTTTTATCTTCCATGCTTTTAATGAAAATGAGTTTGCTTATCTTTTCTTCCATATCTTGTTAATTCTTTAGTTTTGGATAGATGATGTAAATAATACATTAAATACTAATGATGATTCTTATGTTATAAATTTAAATGATATTTTACATATTTTTCCACTCTTTATTTAATTCACATAGTGGCCATATGTGCTGTTAAAACCTAATGTTATATATAGCCTCGACAGAGGAATGCAAGAACAACCAGGAATATTAAATTATTATCTTTGCATAACTAACATAAAATGTAAAATATGATAGGTTCTTATGGAGATGATATAACTTTAGGAGGTTCATAAATATCATTTTCACCCCCATAAGCTCGATAGAGATCTGGAGATATATATGCTATAAATCATTTATATATATAAGAATTCCATTATGAATAAAATACAATTTATACTCATTAATACAAAAAAAAAACTTTTTTTTAAAAATAGTATATCAATTAGATTTATTATTTCATTCTATGACTTGATCTCCACAACTAACTTTTTTATTTTTAGGAGGATAGGTTTACAATTAGAGTAAATGATATTAGTTGATTGCTAGAAATCATACTCCCGCATGGGTTCTACACTCTACTCTATTACTTTATTACTTTAGTTGTCAAATATACTTGCATATATTAAGTGAGATTTATTATTATTTTTATACCAAAGAAAACCTAAGCATTGTTTAGCGGAGATAGAGTCTTAAGTATTTTAACAATTCAAAAAGGCACTCCATATCCACCATCAAGAGAAAAATATTAGGAAGTGCTACTACTCCCCAAGATCACCCAACACACCAATGAAGACACATAAATTGTAAACTAATGTGAGGTGTCTTATTTAAATAGAAATGGAACCTCTAATCATATATATTGAAATAGTGAATAAGTTTCGCAACATTTATTGAGTGACTCACTTGAATAGTAAAGTTGAGAAGGGCCTGATCTTTGGTCACCTCATAATTTTTTGGCCATATTAATTTTCTAAGGATCTTCTGAGGGTCAATACTTTATAAAATCACATATGTTATGGTACTTAAGACAAAAAATCTATTATATTACATGACCTATTATTATGGCACCAGTTTAATTTAGCACCAATCTTTTAATTCTTAGGAAAAAAACAATCAAGAATCAGAACCATAACACATGTGCTGACAATAATCAAACACATAGAATCTAAATATGACTATAATAAACTAAATACAAACTAACACAAACTTGAATCTTACATAAAATAATACAAAATTGAATTAATTTGCCTCCCAAGTAGAACTAAGTTTTCATTTATTAGCTAGAATATATTGAGATATCATTTTGGATGAGCTAGATCATCAATGTTCCTAAGTTGAATGGCTTTAAAGTGCTCCTTTTCATTCTCCTTAGGATTAACTTTGGTGGTACTAGGCAAAACTCCCATGGGTCTACTATTAACTACATTGTCTAGTTTCTCTAATTAGGTTTCAAAGTTTTGAATGGAAGCAACCAGGCTCATTAATTGGGCTTCCATCTGCAATACTAATTCGTCCAAAGATGGTTTCTTACTCTTAGGATGATTATTAGAATTAAAACTTTGGTAAAATTGAGCCTACAATTTCCAAATCATTGTTAAGAAGGGTACAAAGATTCTACAAGGTTTAGCTAATTAGGATTCCCATGAATTCCACCATTATTAGTATTATTCAAAAATTTGGGTGGTTCCTCGAACCTAAATTTTATATATTACAATAGGGGTAACTTTATATACTAATAATAATTTTAATTTATGCCCCTTAGACTTTATGATCAATAGACGGATTGAATAGATTCTAACCTATTGGAATAGATGATCAAAAGGTAGAACTAACTCAAAGATTATCCCATTTCTTAGCCATGGCTACTACTTTGTCAGTCAAAATGGAAAAGCACTAGACTTATAAACACTAACTATCCTTTTAGGATTCACCATAGCTAAATTCCAATAAAATTTATTGGTTATCATGATTAAAGTGTAAGATTCATTTAAAAAGTTTTGGCATTGATGACCCTCCCACAGCTACATCGATGATAGATCTACCATAGTAGAAGGAAGTCTAGTCCGAGATGACATAAACCAAAAAAGTCTGCCGGTTTGGGTGAATGGGCAAGAAAGAAGAACTTCTGAGAGTGCCATCATTGATGGACAAACCTTCTCCTCTTGATATAGTAGTAGAATCTCATGAGTGAGCTACTATCGTTTCTCTTAGATCTTAGATTATGAAAGAAGCAACACGTCGGGAAACTGAACTAATTGAATTGAGAAGCACATGCCCAATAGGTGAAGGATCAGATCGGGATAGAAAGGAAACAGATCGGGCATACTCCTCTTCATCAGATCATTTCTTAGCCTTTTCAGCATCAGCCAAGTAAGGGGAAAAGAGGCACGGGGTTCAACTGCTTGAAAGAGGGCGGAAAATTGCTCTGAAAGCACTGTGGTAGAGTCGTAAGATAATGAGCTCTTTCTCTTAGGGAAGCAAGAAACTTAGAGTTTAGTCACTTTCGAAAAGAGACGGGTCAAGGATAAGTTCAGGGAGAAAGATAGCTTTTAGATAGAACAAGCCTACTCTTAAAAATCTCAATTTTTAGCCTGCGAACATCACTTCAGATATTGTCCGACCTTCTGAACCTGAAGTGAAGGCTTCATTTCTGCTTTCAGGCAATTAGTGGTCTCAGCGGGATGGCAAGCGAGAGAGAGAGAAGTGAGTGTAAAGCAACTTTACCGAAAACTTTAGGAGAAAAAAGGTCAATAACCATTCAAACACTCAAAGGGTTATATGATATATCAGGTGTAGAAGTAGGCCAAAATTTATATTGGCAAAATAAATCATACCAATCCATTATAAAAGGTCTGAATAACCAACTTGCTTGGTATGGCATGATGAGGGCACTTCCTAAGCATCTCTTTAAATATTTCCTATACTTCATATATTGACTCTCCATAAATTTGGGAAAATGAAGATATTTCGTTCCTAAGCTTTATTATTTTTAAGGATGGAAGTACTTAAATAGGAATTTATGGGCCAGATCATTCCTTGTGGTTAAAGAAGCTAGGGGTAAGAAATTTAACAACACTATTGTCTTATCTTGTAAAAAAAAGGGGAAACAAATAAAGTCTAATAGATTGAATGCTTTGTTGAATTCCAATGTTAAAAAGATCTTTATGAAACTATCTAAATATAGGTTAGGATACTCAATAGATGTTCGCTCGAACTATGAGATCTTAACTATTTGGATAATAGTGAGCTAAAGATCTGTGTTATTTGCTTGGATTTTTGACCTATAGATGCTCTTATAAATACCTTCTACCAAGGTATTATTATGCTCTTTAAGACATTTAGGCGAATCATGCTCTAGGTTTAGTTTGTCCATTACTAAAGCTTGGTTCTTTCTGTGTTTTCTAATTTTTAAAAGGATCCTCTCTATCTCTAAGTCAAACAATGTGGTTCCCTTACTAGGATCTATAATGTAAGCACAACAATAAAATAAGAATTCAAAATGATATGTGCTACAAAATTAAAAATACATAAATTTGAACATAATTTAAAAGACTTCATAATTTTATAACTAGTTCACACAAAAAAAATTGAAGCAAAAAAACAAAATGACATGACTAAATATAAAATTATTGGAACAACATAAAACTAATAATAGTATAATCAAAAGATTTCCAATATTGTTCTAATATAGATGCTAAATGAAATTATTTAGAAAATTTAATTACTTTTAAACTTATGATGGTGGTAACCATAATGTTTTCCTATGTTGCCTCTTCATATTTATTATGAATCAAAAAATATGCACTCTTAGATCTTTGTATAGCTTATAAGAGTTTAAAGTAAAATTTTCAAATTACTAAAATTGTTAAATCTCAATAGATCCCGAAAACCTAACCACCCAATGGTAGCATAGTTGTTCTCTATTCCAAGACTCCTAATTATTCCATCATTCCTTTATCAAGGCAATGAATTACACCATATTTTATATTAGAGCATGGTTATTAAACTAACAAGATAAAGTATAGGAGTAATTTAAAATAATATTCAATATTTTATGTTTAGGAGTCTACTTAACTTAAACATACACTATATCATAATATAAGTCATAAATAATACGTTTAGACATCCATGTAATGATATTCACATAAAATAGGGTTCATTTACTCAAAAATAACAAAATACAAGAGTGTGTTATTCAAGATATCATTGGAATCATTTTTTTTAAGAACAAACATATACTGGGGATTTCAAGAATGATTAACTTAAAGGAAATACTCTCCTTCCATTTTACTCTTACGCACACACTTTTTTTTACTAAAAAAGGCCCTATTACAAATTGAAGATTAAAACTATTTATGCTGCGACATCGAACTATTATAAATTTTATAAAGGTATGCATCGCAACACTACTAATAAAATTAACAATACGGCACTCGTTGAGGTTGACTAATATGTTGTTGGGTTGAATCAATGTGATGCTATAGTTGTAAACCACTTCAACTTCCTCATCATCGAACTACATGAGACTCAATACTGGGGTTCTCTAGAAGATGTTGTGCTGGTGTTAAATTATTTATGTATTTTCCCAAATTGAGTGGTGCAATAATACTCCAATTTATATAGTTGTGGCATTACGGATGCTACAATGCTTTAAGCTTTGGTGCTAGGGAATTAAGTTAATTTGTGAAATTCCTAAACATAGTTGATCCTAGGTGCATTAATGCTGCATTGGGGTATTACTGAAATTGTGGCATAAATTGTATAAGTGTTGCACCGCATGAGCTAAATTTCTATTTTGATGACTTTTTTCAAAATTTTACAACACACATCAACCAAAATAAACATTTTTACATTAAAATATGCAAAAAAAATATTAGCATAATTTTCACTTAGCAATAACCTTGGGATGAGTTTATAAAAGGTATAAGAATGATTTTGAATACTTGGAATTAAAATCCATATTTTAGGTGACTAAGTTGACAAAGGGTTTGAAGTGGAAAAGATTTAAGGACAAAAAAAATCATTTTGAATTTTATGTTCAAACTCTATTAACCAATTTTGACCAATGGTCTTGGATGAGTTAAAATACATTAGGAATGAGTTTAGGTTGGTTTGGTTTAGCTTGTAGGTTCTCGGTTTAGGTCTAGCTTGAAATGCCTCTATGAGTGGAATTTATGGTGATCAATGGGTAAATTGAGTTTTTCATTAGATTTAGGTTTTAGTTTTAATCTTGGATTGAAATTGAAGACTTCTTAAGGCTAGTAAAAGTTATTTAAAGGAAAATCTAGGTCATCTAAATTTTTCCAAGACCAAGTCCTTGAGTCTCTCCTGGGGTTCCTCTAGGCTAGGTCTTCACTTAAGTAAAGGATCCATATATAATAAAAGTACATGGTAGAAGGGCTTTGACCTTATTCAATAACAAGGTCAACAATTTAATTTTTTTTTTCAACATTTAAGTCTAAATATTACATGTACGCCTCTATACGTACAGCTGGAATAAAATTTTTTGATAAATTATGTATTACTAATAAATGTGCTAACGAGGTTAAGCAATTATGTTTCAATATTTACTCCCTGACTATGAAAATTTTTGTATGCAACCTAATGTAACAATATATGGCATGTATACCTATTAAACAAAAAATATTAACTCTTTTTCATTCTAAAGAAAATTGGCAACATAGAAAAGGTAAATAAAATTCTAAGATGCTTGCCTGAATCTTAAGATGATAAGGTGATGGTGATTTATAAATCTAAAGATTTAACTACTTATTCTATAAATAACTTGCTTGGTTCTTCAATATAATATAAATAAAAGGTTAGGACAAGATTGCTAGTGTAGGTAATAAGAGAAAGGAAAAGACTACAGTGTTGAAAGCTAATAATTTTGATAATAATTATTATAAAAGGTATTGCGGATTAGTTTTTATGAATTAGAATTTTGATGATAGCTAAAATTCATGATTTTCTACAACTGCCTTGCCTACTAACTTTGCAGGTCCACAAGATCGAGTGCAACTCAAGCCAGCTCAAGATTGGGTAGATTAAGTCTGAGTTAGTTTGTATTTTTTTCCCTTTCTTGAGTCTACTTTAAATAATGTGGTTCCTGATGCTAAGTAACCTTGCACCCACACACCTTACGAGAATTTCTGACTGTTTCTTAGAGTTTATTGTTTTTGGTAACATTGTCAAGGATGATATTTATATTGGCTTGTACGATCGGTTCAAAAATAGAAACACTAATTAGGGCATACTTATTAAGGCAGATGTCATTAAGCACATCGTCCTAGATGATTTTGTATCAACCAGGATGATAGGCTCAAATCAGAAAGAATCATCCGTCAAATCTATTTTGGTATTACTTATTTTTGGACATCGTCCCGAGCATCGACCTAGCCGATCCAGCATAATTTTTCCTAAATTAATCTGGTATATATGGAAAGTAATTAAGGCTTATTGCACGATCACATTGGTTGGGCCAATCGCAGGATTGTCCAGGACGATGTAACTAAAAAATTGCCTAATCATCCCAAACCGACCAGGCTGATTAAGCAAAATTTATACTGATCAACCAAGTCAATATTCATATCAGCCTGGAGGATAATGTCAGTTTTGAAAATCTATTTAAAGACCTCTTTCTTTATCATGAAAAGTGTCTTTGGCAGACATTATAGCTTTGCTCTTTTGGTGGGAACTTGAAAAGAGAACTTGAAATGGAGAGAGGAAAGGGTGGAGTTTGAGAGAGGGAGAGTATCCTTAGAGGGTGTTTTAAAGGAGTGTGAGGGGGATTCCATACAGTTGTTTCGATGAGCTTGCATTTTAGTACCATAGGATTCAAGGCTTGTCTTGAAGGAAGTTCTGGGAAGAATAAGATCTCTTTGGTGTCAAAGGACCTCCGAGGAGTGGACATAGGTCAAGGTTTGACCAAACCATTATAAATCTCGTGTGTTTTTTCCTTTATTATTTTCGTATTTAATTCCTGCATTTTGGTTTTCTTTGTGGTGAATCTTGGTTGTGATTGTGTTTTGATTGTTGAAAGATTTTATTTATTATATCAGTTCACCTCTCTCTTGGTTAGCCTTTGGACTAGTTCATAAGGGCTTAACATCCCTAACAAACTTTCAAGTGGTATCAGAGCAGGATTCATAAAAACTAACTTTGAAAACTTTTTAAATTTTGATTCATGGCTAATTTTTATAATCGTAATATTGCGGAAGGTTTTTTAATCACCAGACCACCTTTATTTGAAAATATTACTTTTGATTTTTGGAAAATCCGCATGTCTACTTTCTTGCAATCATATGAATTTTGAATATGGCAAATGACTTTAACTTGTTATTATGTACCGTCGCGTACTATAGATAGAATAAAAACTGAGATTTCTTTTAATCAATGGAGTAAGGAAGAACTAATCAATGCTCAATTGAATGCAAAATCATTAAACTATTTATTTTGTGCTTTTATTTCTAAAGACTTTATATTTGTTTTCACGTGCACTACTAGTAAGAAAATTTTAGATAAATTACACACTTTATATGAAGGCACTAGTGAAATCAAGCAATTCAGATTGAATATTTTAATGCATGGTTATGAATTCTTATGCATGAACCTTATGAGGCGATCTTAGATATGTATACTATGTTTATTCAAATTGTGACATCATTGTATGCCTTAGGTAAAGAATTTTCAAACTTTGAAAAAGTTAATAAAATTTTATGTTGTCTACTTGATAAGTTTGATGCTAAAGTTGTTACTATTTATGAATCAAAAAATTTGAATGAGTATTCTATTGATAATTTGATTGGCTCACTCATTGCCTACAAGCAAAGTTTGGGTCAAAGACTTTTGGATGCAGGTGAAATAATAGTGTTAAAAGCTAAAGACACATAGAAAGGTAGCTTAATTAGTGAGGAAAATGATAACTTAACAAGTAAATTAGAAAGCTCGCTAAAACATAAGCATCAATAAAAGTGGGATAAAG